ATCGACATTTCCAGATTTCCCATGTTGATGATAATCTGATAGGTAGCAGCTATTCACCATCTTTTGTCTCTCCTACAACCCCTGAATCGAACTACTTCTCAGTCTCAAGCAGCTGCCAGATGAATGGTTTTGGAATGTTCATCACTTGCACCATTCAGAATCAGACCCCTCCCATATATTCTCAGCCAACACTTCCACAACAAGTTCTCTGATCATGGTTGAGATTTCCCTAGACCATTTGGAGCTAGATCCAAGCTTCTCATTTGATATTTTTATCATGAACCCAAGCTAATATTCTTGAAAAGGACAATAAAGACTAACAAATAGTTCGGATATTATCACCGAGTTGCTTTGTTGAGGTTGACTATCCCTCCTTTAGGAATTAGTATAGATATGGATATGATTGCAAAAGTTAATAGCAAACTAGCCTCAGATTAGAAACTAGCTATTATATTTGTATCAATAGTGTACTGTTTTCAACGGCTGAACTTCCAGCCAATTGACATCAAGTTGCTGAGTGAAATTCGACCATATTCTTGCAAAAGGCTATTGAACATTCATGAATTCTATCAAACTACAGACAGCTAAGGGGCCAGGTTCACCTTTTAAATATAATAACAACATATTCAGTGTAATCCCACAAGTGGATCTGAGGAGGGTAGTGTGTACGTGGACCTTACCCCTACCTTGGAAGGTCGAGAGGTTGTTTCCGATAGACCCTTGGCTCAAGAAGAAGCATATCAAAGTAGTTCGGAAAAGAAATAACGGAAGTGGAGAAGCAACCACAAAATACTAAAGACAGCATGACGGAGCATGATGAAAAAAAGGGAACATTAACTACAACAAAATAATACTATAATTGAAGTACAAGAACAATAAATTGTAACAGATATCGAAGACCAACAAACTACAAGAGACTTCTACAACTACTTGAATAATAAACTTGAACAGATTAAATAATCAGCATAAGCATGAGAGCTAGAGAAGATGGTGATTAACTATGTGCTTCATTGACTGTTCATAACATTGATTGATGCACTCTATACAACAATCTTTCTCTAATGATGCATCAGGATGGGACTGTTAAAGCTATGCTTGCAGTGAAAATACAATGGACAAAAGAGTCCAAAGCAGGATTCAGTAACAGCATATACCTAGCGAAACCAGACGGGCAAAGAAAAAGCAACATTTTTCTTTGAACCGCTGATATACAGATGTCTACAAACAACAAAAGGATGATAGGTACATGTCAACTAGATTGATGTCTTCTTCTCTTCTTTAATTCTGGAGACATCATTGTTTTTGCTTTCTTCAGGATTCTCAGCTTTCCTAATAGCTTCCCTTAGCCCCAACACAATGAATAAGTTGGTTAAAGTGAGCAGTGACTCAGCTCCTCCATGCAACCAATCAACGTTGGACAGAGAAGTTCCATAATGCACCTTCGCTGTTCCAAAGCATGTCAATAAGAATTACAGTTCTAAGTTAGAAGGGCCCATCTGGCTTAGCTTTTAAAAAGTAGTTTTTAAAAGTCAAACTTTAGTAACTTTTAAGTTAAAAAATGAAAAGTAGGGGTACCTACTTTAAACATTTTTTAAGTCGTTTTTAAAATATCCAAACACTCTTGAGGGCTGAAAACTACTTAAAAGTTGGTCAAGCTAAGCCAAACACCCTCTTACACAATCAATAGATTCTTTGCTGAGAGAGGAAGTTACCGTAAATTCCAGCAGGAACTGCACAAAAGAGGTGAAACAGAAAGAACACAATGTCAAAATAAATCAAATGGAGTTAAAATGATATTACCAGTATAAAGATGTAATTTTTGAAGAAGAATATGAGGTAGATATGTAAAACATAAGCAGAGAAGCATGTGGACAAAATTTACGCACAACTACTTCTTTTATCTAAGTAGGCAAAGCTCTAGGTAGAAAATGTTAAAGCATCGATGAAATGCATAACCAGTCATTAACGATGAATTGGTCAAGCACATTGAACCCAGTACCTATGCAAGGCACATATTTCAATGATTGCTCTCATTGAATTTGAACCTAGAAACAACATACGTAGTATAGTTCCACAAGTGGGATCTGGGGAGGGTAGAGTGTATGCAGACCTTATCCCAACCTTGGCAGGTCTTATCACTCTTACTACACAAAAGCAAGCAAGATGTAGAACCCCAAAAATGTAAGCTTTGGGGCAGTTTTGGATTTGGTGATGAAGTACAAAAAACCCACATAAGGGAGAGGAGAAAAAAGCAAAGAGCTGTGAAGCAATGCTCTGTGAGTCAACATTTGGTGCCCATGGAACATCAGGCAAAAATCCACACAAATCTTGCACTCTTTTACTATAAAGTTTTCTACTTTCACCACAGTTGAGTTGCTTGGTAGTATTTCTAAAACTGATTTTTGTTTGGGAACAGTTGAAAAATGGAAAAGCATAGAAACCAAGAACAATAGGGTTCTTCCAAAAAACACAATATGATGAATACTCTTAAGGGGTTGTTTGGTTGCTGGTTAGGAAGAGAATTGTTAATCTATTAAAACTAGCATAATCAATACTCTCTTTGTTTCACTTTATTTGTCTTACTTCCCTTTTTAATCGGTTTCAAAAGTATTATCTCTTCCCTTTTTGGGAACTCATTAGTTTCAACTTTCCACTTGTCATGTTTAAGAGTACAAGATTAAACAACATTTTAATACATTCTACATATTTTTAGTTTAAGACTACAAGATTCAAAATTTTCTTTACTTCCATAATATCCGTGCTAAGCCAAAACTAAACAAACTAATTGAAACGGAGGGAGTATAAAGATTTCTATTTTCACCACATATGAGTTGTTTGGTAGTATTTCTAAAACTGGGATTTGTTTGGCAACAGTTGACAAATGGAGAAACATAGGAACCAAGAATAATGGGGTTCTTCCTAACAGACACAATATGATGAATACTCTAAAACAATAGAATAATAGAACAATAAATATACAAGGAGAATATTGACGGGACTTACTTGTGGCACCCACAAAAGCAAGCAAGAAATAAAACCCAAAAAGTGTAAGCTTTGGGGCAGTCTTGGATTTGGTGATGAAGTACAAAAAACCCACATAAGGGAACAGAGAAAAAGCAAATAGCTGTGAAGCTATGCTCTGTGAGTCGACATTTGGTGCCCATGGATCAACTGGCAAAAACCCACACACAATTCTTGATCTTTTGCTGTAAAGTCTTGTTTTTTCCCCATAGTTGAGCTGTTTGGTATTTCTCAAATTGTGGAAAAATGGTGAAGCAGAGGAAGCAAGAATGATGGGGTTCTTCCAAACAGGGTGTAAACAGTTCAGCATTTTTGCATCAATGGCTTCTTCTTTTTACTGTGTGTTGAAAAGAGACATGAAGGCTCAACCATAAGTAAATGATAGAGTGTCAGGAGTTGAATATGGGCTTGCTGGACTATTGTGAACCAATTCATAGTTGGGCTAATCTACTCAATTAAAGATGGGCCAAGAGCCTTAGAAAAAGAAGTAAAAAATTAGGGAAAATTACGCAAAATGACAAACACCTCGAGTATATTATGTAATATAGCTATTGTTTCGATTATTTTTAATCTGTAGCTATAGTTTCACAAATTTTTTCTATTCGGTTTCCTAATTGTGTAAATTCAGAATTCGTATAATTCAGTTCCTAATTGTATAAATTCAGAATTTGTATAATTCGATTATTGATTGTATAAATTCAGAATTTATATATACTCACCCTAGCTATTTGTATAAAAAAAAACTCACAATAAATTACCATGTTTGTATATTGACAAGAGAAATATACAAATGGAATTCTGAAAAATTCCTAAATGTATAAATACATAATTTGTATAGACTTACCTTGTTTGTACATTCACAAGCGAAATACACAAGGCACAATCTCCATAGCAAACAAAACTATTGCTATGAAACGCAATTATCGAAACTATACCTATAAAGTCTTATTATGTCTATTGATCTTTGCTATTTCTAAAATTTAATATTGAGGAAATTTCATAAATAACATTAATTTGAGCCCTAATTATTGATCATAATCATAGTTTGTTCAATTTAATTTTTTATTTAGACACACAAATTACAGTTTGTTCTAATTGAGCACCTAAACATGTGATAAATTATTCCTAGTAGACACTTCCAACTAAAATTTTGACAATTTCTGAGTGTATTCTCAAATTGCTCACTACATAGATAAGTTACTACTTAAAATATGTCATTTCCTTTATTTATACTCATTAGCCTCAATAAACCGTAAAACCTCAAACTTGTTCCAAATCCAATCTTAAGATATTAAACTAGAAAACTCATCACAAAAGAGAAGAAATAAAGTTATATATAGAAAACTTTACATTAGTCATCAACATCAGTTCTTGCATATGGAATTCTTTAACATAATCTCTTTTCTCCAACAAGAGATTTAGTTGATTCCCAAATCCAAATATACAATGCAAAGCTTAGCTTTATCACCAAAATATTTAAGTGTTTTGACTAATTTTGTGTCACAAACACTTTTATTCAGTATACAATATACTAATTTCTAACAAGAACAAACGTATTGAGTACATAAAAAAAATGGTTTACAATTCTCAGGAAGATTGTTAACCTTGTACATTAGCTTCTTGGCTTGATCTAAGCAAATTCCCGTCACGAGGAACGTGCAAATGGCGGTTCCAACCTTCTCTAGTTTAGTCGGAATGAAGAAACTCATGGTAAGAAGCACATTTCCCCCTTGAGTGGCGCCCACGCTGAACGATTCTGGAGCCAGTGGACTAGCTGAAGATGTTACTGATAACTGAAGAAACTAAAGAAACTTTTGGTAGGAAGAGCCTTCACCCCTTTAGTTGGCCCGCGCAAATTTGAACTCAGTAGATTTCGGATACCAGATGTATAAAGAAGAAAAAAATGACACAAGCTATTATATCTCTTCATGTAACTACGGCTAAAGAAGTTACTGATAGCTCTCAAGGAGATAACATTCCTAGGGAGCGCTCCTCCGACCAAATTCAGTTAGCAAGATCCTCTTATAGTAATCAGACCGACTACGATGATAATCAATCCATACACATAATTGCCTAATCGCCTCTCGTTTTTCCTCCTTGAGAGACAACACTGATTCCTCTCTGTCCTTGATCATCTTCTCTAGTTCCCTAACTTTGTTCTCTGACTTCCAAACTTTCTCTCTGTACTTCAATATCTCAGATTCTTTGTCATCACATTGTGCAAGTAAGCAATCAAAGTCATCTTTCACGTGTGCCATTGCTTTATTTTTCCTCATCACCCAATCTTTTACAAATTGCAGCTCGCATGAATTCTTTGATATTCGATTCAAGAAATGAGCAGTGCATTCCTCAAACTTGAGTGCCACAGTGTCTAGTGAACCTAACAAATCGCTAGCTGTCAACGATATATCCTTAATTCCCCTCAACCCCATTTCATTTCTTGCATTTTTCTCTTTTAGATCTTTGTTCTCTTTCTCGTATGAGTTTCTGGTTTTTTGGTACCACTCCTTGTTCTCGATATGCATTTGTTCTGCCACGCGGATCCTTCTGCTCAAGATTCGTAAACTGTCTTCAAATGACTTGCGTAGTTCCTCCGTCATTTCTCCTAGTTTTCTTTCAGCATTGTGGAAATTTAATTTGGAATCCTCTAACTTGATTTGCATTTGCTTATGTTCCCCTTTTGACTTGTTTACAACATCTTGCATCCCTTGTAAAGTTTTCTCCTGCTCCGCGATCTTGATAGTCAATTCGGTATTTTTCTTTTCCATCTGCATTAGACTTTGGGAAAATTCATGTTTTTCCTTCTCAAGCTGAGACTGAAATCTTGATTTTTCAGTTTCCGCGGTTTGCAGCTGCTTTTGAATATTGTTGATTCGCGCTGTCAATGTTGAACCTTGAGCCGACATATCGTTCATGTAAGCCTCGTGCTTCTTTTGAAGAATTCCCACCTCTGTTTCTTTTCCTAATAGTTTTGTTTCCAATTCCATGATCTTATCATTCAGCTTTTCTTTTTGTAACTCTGAATGATAAGCTTCTTGATTCATATCCATTATCTTCTCTTCCATGTCACATTTTGCATCCATGAGTAAGTTCACCTCCGATTTTAAGCCCTCCGTTGCTTTTGTTAGCCCCTTTTCGGATGAAGTAGTGCTCGTTAGTTCCCCTTTCAGATTTTCTATCGGAAGGTGATATTCTGATAGTTCTTGAGTTTTTTCTTGGAGTGACAACTCTAATTCACAATTCTGGTTTCTTAAGGCTTCCAACTCATGTTGCAAATCATTAGTCCTTTCTGTTAAATCCTTAACTCGGTCAGATGCCTCGTGAGACTTCTTTTCGAGTGACAGCTCCAAATCAGATTTCTGTAGTTCTGAAAAATATAAGTCCTTAACTTGTTTCGATCCTTTGTTGGTTTCATGTAACAACTTTTGTTCTAAGTCATTCCTTTGAACACGTACACGGTCCACTTCTTGCTGCAGTGGACCATTTACGTGTTGTAGTTCTGAAAAATGTGTTTTTTCTGCTAACTCCTTGACTTTTTCTGATCCTTTCTTGGTTTCATTTAACAACTTTTGTTCCAATTCATGCTTTTCAGCGTTTAAACGATCCACTTCTTGCTGAAGAACGTGTGATTTTGCCATAAGAACATCTATTCTAGACGTTGAGTTGAGTAGATTTTCATCAATTTCTGTGAAGGTTGCTTCTAGCTCTAACACACGAGATTGCAGTCCCGAGTTAGTATCTTCCATTTGCTGAAGTTCATTCGACTTGCACCCGAGTTGCTCTTCAAGTTCTCTCTTTTGAACACATAAGTTATTTAATTCAACCTTCATACTAGCAATTTGATCCTCTAAGCCCTTCATTTGAGACAATCTCTCCTTCTCTCGAAGCTCAAAATCATCGGTCAGATACAAGATTTCGTCTTCTTTTTCTTTTACTTTCTCTTGGAACCATTCAGATTCATCTATAAACTTCTCTTCACCTTGAATCCTCAAGTCTTTGAAGAATTCCCCTGATTCAGACCCTCGGCTATAAGACATCGGTGTCTCAAAATTTTCCATATCATAACTTTCGACACTTCCCCCCTTCATCACTTCAATATTTGAAGTTATAACTTTGTCCTTCAAAATAGCATCCTCATCAAGAGGCTCATAATTGGAACAAGATGAACTACTTTTCGCGGTCAATTCCTCGGGGCTAAAATATGATTCTGAATTCGAACACGATGAAGAAGATTGAGATGATAAATCGCCCTCATGTTCTTCATTAAGTTTTTTCCTTACTTCCCCTCGGAGATCATCGTACACCGAATAGAGGGACTTGTACTGTATGTGGAATTCATCAACAAGTTGAAGCAATTCTGATCTTCTCCTCAAATTTCCTTCTCTACTACCTTGGTTTATTTTCTTGATTAGCTTTGCAATCCTTTTTACTTTATTCTCAATTTCTGCAATAACAAACCAAACTCTTCCAAGTTAGAAATTCTCTTACTGTTGCTCGGACTCTCCAAAAACAACAAAAAGCATAAAAAACTATGTTGCTCGGACTCTCCAAAAATGATGCAGCATCCGTGTCCGATCATCAAAAAATGCACTACTTTTGGAGGATTTGACACACACTTGACGGCATTTTTAAAGAGTCTGAGCAACAAAGGTAGCTTAACATGTGCAAGAAACTATTGAAGTCACATAATCTCAATGTGCATTCTATGATTACATGATGATACAAATTGGAATGTAATTAATGATCTTAGTGTGTATAAGTTATTATACAGTACAATACAATCATACAACACAAGAAAATCTTGTTGAACGACAGAAAACAATACAGTCTAACCAAACCTTGTGTCAACCAGACAATGCAACAACAAAATCAAACAGGCTGCTAAGGTCTGATACCATTAGAACACAGACGCAAACCAAGGATATAGAATCAGTAGGCTCAGAATGAGTTATACTCTTTTTGCATATGTTTACATTGTTCGCATAACAAACAATGAGTTCAGTTGAATCAACAAAACATGTTCTCAATAAAACAATACATGTTACACGTATACATTATCAAACAATAGAAAACAGCAAAACCAAACAGGATTCTTAAGGTTCGCCACCATTATACACAAAGGCGAATCTAGGACTTAGAATTGGTGGGTTCAGAATGAGTTTGATCATATTATATGCATGCTTTTTATACTCTTTTTTCTTATGTTTACATAGTTCGAGCTGAAATGAGTTCAGTTGAACCTACAAAAAATATTCTAAATCCGCCTCTTGTGCACTTTATTGGTATGAACATATGATATAAAACTTGAATGTCATTACTCATTAAGGGGTTTTGGAACTACTCAAGTTAACATCAAGTTTTTGCCACCATTAAGCACTTGTTGACAGGATGTATCAGCAACTTACTGCGAACCAATTGGCATTCTGTATACCACATAAATCCACCACGTTGGGGGTAAATTTGTGCTCGAACATTCGCTTTATATTGCCTTCTTTTTGCCTCTAACGCGTTATCCCACAACTTCCAATAACATTCAAAGGGTCGAGGTTGTTCTGGAATCGAATAATTACCTATTTTCATCCATTTCCACTGCTCTTCCTTTTCAGGATCAACATGACTCCCAAATGCCTTCATTGATTCCTTCCAACTTCGCTTCGTCATGTCTGCCTCCAAATTTTCAAAGGGTAGTAATGCTCAGAGTTAACTGGTACCTGTGCTGCTCACGTCCAAATAGTTGCCCGGCCTAAATTAAAGAAAAAACAGGATCAACAAATCATAATAAAAACACTTCAAATAACTCGTTTTGATGTGCACAGTGACGGAGCCAAGAATTCAAATATAGATGCAAAAAAGGCGAGTCATAACCAAACACATCAAACATTCCATTGATGCTCAGAGTTAACTGGTACTTGTGCTGCTCACATCAAAATTGTATCCCACCCTAAATTATGACATATATAATATCTCTTTAAGAACAAAGAAATAAATTAAAACAGAAAAGTAAATATCTGGAAGAAACCTAAATATTTTTTCAAGATTCATCCAACAATTTATGACATTATGTTGTTACAAAAAAATTCACCTAAATCATATGCTTTTGTTCATTTTTTCAAGAATCTGTTGATTTATTTTCATTCAAAGCCCCAAACTATATTCCTATATCACCAATTTTTCATCTGGTATTCGTTAAATTAGTCGAGGTGCGCACAACATGTTTGTCCGGACACCACAATTACCCAAAAAAAAAAAAAAAAGTCACCAATTTTTCAGCCATAACATCTAAAAATATATATATTGAGAAGGATTACCATGCAATAAAAGAAATATATTATCTGACATTTTTTTTGAATAAAAGAAATGTTTTCTTAAGCTAGAGAATCAAGATAGGTAATGAAAATGTTGGAACATATATGAAAGTAAAAGAGATATCAAAGAGAAATATATTACCATGAAAAATTCACTATTTTCATTGGGAAGAATCAATTTTCTGGATTTTTTATCAAAAACTATTTATCTCAAAATATTTCTTGAATTTGGGAGCAAAAAAATGAAGATATTTTATCGGAATCAAGAAAAAAAGAAAAAAAGGAGTTTTAAAAGAGTTGAAAGAGGAGGAAAAACAAAATGGGGATCACAAAATCAAAACATTTATTTTAATTTGACATTGTATTGACGTTATTCTAAATTCTAATTTCACATATTTGTAAATATAAAATATAAAAAATATGATTCTAGAAGGGTAAATATTGAGGCAAAAAATAATAATAGAAAATTGAATTAATTAAAATGTTAATTAATGTTGGATTTATACTTTTTAATCAAAGTTGTGAAATGTATCCATCATTAATAGTTGTTATTTTCCTTCGATTTTTTCTTTATCCATTGATCAATTTATAGCATTTGCCAATTTTTTAGAAGCCTAAAGTATTTTTTTTTTATATCTGTATCTATTTATTTTAGAAAGTTAAAGCAGTTTGGCTAATCTTTTTTAAAAAAACATAAACGGTTACGAGTAATAGTGATAATTATATATTTAAAATTTTGACCGATTGATGTTCAATCTTGAAAAAAATATATTTTAAATTCTGCGATAAAGCATTTATAACTACGACTTATAAATTATTAGCCAATCACGACATATAAATTGCAATCGGTGAAGGTGATTTATATATCGCATATGATAACATCATATTTGACAATTTCTTCAAGTCTTATACAATTATACCAATGAGCAATCATAGTTTCATAAATAAGATATCGGAATAATGAATGACATATCTTCATGTTTCTTTTATGAATAAATGTTTGTGATTACAAACTTTAAAATACTCATAATTTTGTAAATATTAGTAACTATCTATTCTTTAATATAATCATACCACTAATGAGTTTGGTAATTCGGTTTTCGACAGTATTTTATGTCCAGTCCTAATTTTTATATTTTTTGTAAAATGATTCAAGCTTAATGGGAATGAACTGTCTATACAATGTGATATGATTATATTAAAGAATAAATAGTTACTACTCTTTATAAAATTATGAGTATTTTAAAGTTGTAATCACAAAAATTTATTCATAAAAAAAATATGAAGATATGCCATTCATCATTGTGATATCTTATTTATGAACTATGATTACTCATTTGGTATGATTGTATAAGAATTAAAGAAATTTTAATAGTTTTCACAACTTATAGGTTTGAATGTTTATTAGAAAATATATATACAACTTAAGAAATCCAAATTATATATTAAAACAAAAACTTCAACTCCCAATCAATCTGATTTCAAATCAGATTCAAGACGTAGCCTTTAGTTTGTGTCTGGCGTCTGCTCCAAACTTATATTATTTGTGTCTGGCGTCTGTTCCAAACTAATCAATATATGACAAATATTTTCAAATAAACTTAACATCTAACTACAAGTAATTGTAACGGGTAAAGCTTAGATAAATATTCTGGAAAAAAATAGTATAACATGTTAAATTATACACCACAAACATTCTTTATACCATAAATGCATGTAATTTTACAGTACTTAGTCAAGATTGATCTATCCTGCTTGCAAATCAGCCCTTGCTTAGAGAAGGGCCAATAATTCCCCTTGATTATTGAAAAAAGTAGGGTACTTGTACCCACCATCGCAGTTTGGTCCAAAAATGCCCTTGGCGTTACTCAAGTAACCCATTTATACTCGTCAAAACTATCGAACCTCCACGTGTACCTTCATTGTAACATAATTCTTCAACCACTTCCTAGTTCTCTGTTTAAGTAATCAACAAACATCCTTTTTGCACTATCAGCATCTGAAGGAGGAGGTGGCCCGCTCAAGCTTGTCTGTCCAGCAAGTTTGATGAAAGTTCGTCGTAGCCTACGCAGCTCTGGCAGGCTGACAGATCTTGAAATATCTATAGTTGGTATTCCTGGACCAAGAGACACACCATTGAGAGGACCCCCAAGAGCGCGGGACTGAGCTTCCACAATAGCATTTGTAATTTCTTGTGTTGCCCTGTCCATCTCATATAAAGAATTTGCCTCAGAACCACGTGCACTCTGTGTCGCGATGGTCGGCTGTAGGATCTTAACATCTCTCGTTTTCGAGTCTACTTTTTTCGTAAGATAGGTAACAGCATCAACCATAGCTGTTGATGATTTATCAATTCCTTCTTTAGCTGGCCATAACTCGAACAATGGAGAATCCCATCTATTTTTGCTATCTGGCCTTTCAAACCTTCTTACAAGATCTTCAAATATATTATCATCATAAGATGGTTCTTCTCTCTCACAACGTTCGACGTTCCATGTTCTACAAGATTGCTCATCAACGTCACAATGGACAACACAATATCTAATCCCTGCTGCTCTAGCCAAACACCATAACTCATATCTATAGCCCTTGATGCTATTAAGAGAATCCACTATAACTATACTGTCCTTTGACAAAGATCTGTCAACTTCAGACCTCAATACACCTCTTAAATTCTTTTCCTCGGTCATGTTTGCATAGCTTTGGTTGCGACTAAGATGAAACGAAGTTTCATCTATAGTTCTAACAGATGGTTCTGGTTCCGTTTGTCTAAGTGCTTCAGATAAACAAGCTGCAGCTGTTGATTTCCCGCTACATGGCTGACCACAGATAACAACCAATGCCATCTACAACCAACAAAAAGGAACAAGTCATGAAATTAACCCAAGTAGCTGGATCATAAAATTACAATGGAAGTGTTTTCCCCGCAAAATTACAGCAGAAAAATGATAACAAAACAGTTTAAACTACATTGTCCCTACAACAAATAATCTAGAACTCGTAATAACAAATATGTGTCTCGCTGTTGGATTTAGATATGAAAGAAAATTCCAATGCTTTCATGTTCTACAAGAGTGAAAGCATAATTATGCCTAAATATGACCATTGACATCTTCTCTCAATAAGTTGTATGCATTGTATCCAAATGGTGTTTCAAACTCGATGTTCCAAATTAAGAGTCCAATACATTCTCTATGTCACAATTCACGAAGTGTACATTGGGTTCCAAACTTTCCATCACTAGAAATAGCAAGCAACCTAATAAAAGTATCCCAAACAACAGCTGATTGTCTTTTTGCTGATCTTAATGCAATTGACAAACTCTGTTCACAAGAATCACAATACCCTCTGTTGACATCGCCAGTGGCAGACCCAGGATTTTCACAAAGGGGTGTCAATGGTTTATGGTTTAAGTAAAATTTTGTTCGTAAAAGAAATTATTATGAGGCCATCAAGGCTAGAACACTCGTAACCACTAGACTAAACCTTTAACTTGTGTCAAGAAGTGTCAATACTTTTATATATATTTATTAGAGGTGAGTCCTCCCCTAGACATCGCAGCCTAAACCATCACACAATGAGCACGGACGGATCCTCAGTTTGGGTTACAGACCAAGTTATCATTATGCATATTAACTTGAAATCTAGGAATACATGAACTTCAAATAACACCACTAATGTAAACTTATGGATTCGAAATTCTAATTCATTTAAGTTAGTGAGTTCTAAATTGATAACTTGTTATATCGAATTGTAAACTCTACTCTAGCTCCAGCCCTGCCTCTGACCTCCATTAAAACGCCTCATCAATTCACCCAAAAACCAAAAAAAACCCCAAATTCAGTAGGCTCAAATTCGAAAACATACATACATCTGAAGAGGCAAGATTAAACGAAGAATCAAAAGCACTGAGCAGATAAAGATGAAGGAGATACATACCTAAAAAGAGACAGGCAGATCTGATGAAGGCGAGGTGAAGTGTTAGTATAATTGTGAGAAGCACACTTGGAAGAAACAAAATACCCTAACATTAAGAAAATTAATGTATTTATGGGAAAATGCATAAGTAGCCCCGGCCTATGCCCAAAAACTCTGAGACACACATAACCTTTACTAAGGTCCTATTACCTCCGAACTTATTTTTTAATTAATTTTCTACCCCTTTTTGGCCTACGTGGCACTATCCTTGAAAAAATTGTCAACACGCGCTGGGCCCACAAGATAGTGCCACGTAGGCCGAAAAGGGGTAGAAAATTATATATAAAATATTCGGGGGTAATAGGACCTTAGTAAAGGTTAGGTGTGTCTCAGAGATTTTGGGCATAGGCTGGGGATACTTATGCATTTTCCCATGTATTTATTGCTACTATTAATTAAAATTTTCTTAATACAGT